AAAGTAAAATAGATCGAATCCACGTTTTTAAAAATCAATTTGAAATCAGTATATGAAAATATATTTGAGTATATTATTTTTCAAAGTGTCAGAAATGGATAACAAAACTGCTATTTTCAATGACTACTTATTTTTGTCCAGCTTTAATATCGGTATCGGATATCGGCCAAAATCCTAATATTGTGCATCCCTAATAAATAATGATTTTAATTGTGTGAATAATAGATCAAATTTGGAAATGAAAACAAAATCAACTTGATATATATAGAATTAATTATTAGGACCTTGCATAAATACACGTATTTTATTTTTACTGCATGTATTTATGTCATGATTTAATAAATTGTTTAATGTTCCTGCAATGAAGAACACCATGAATTTATATAAACTGTCACACATCCACCAGAGACAAGGAGGTGGGACTAGAAACCCTGTCGTTGGATTGGTCGCTTCTTACAGAGCAAGAAAAGACAAATATTATCACTGAAAAGACAGTGTTGCCCTTTATTTACAGCACATTGGGAGAGCAACTCCAGCTTTTCTGTTCCTACTTTAGTCTAAAATAGCTAATAAGCCAATTGAGATAAATAGATGTAAATCATTTTACTGTATTCCATGTCATAATTCCAAAGTTATAATTCATTTTACATTTCATAATATCGGTTGATTTAATGATGTATTACATAAACAAACGGTACATTTAATGGTTTTTTATATTTTTCATTTTATTTATTACTTAATAGTACTTTCCCCCAATATAAGCATCTATTCCATGTTGTCCCCTTTATACCCCCAAACACAGAGTTCCTTCAACATAAAGAAAGTTAAATTCAAGACTTTTTAAGACTTTTTTTGTCACTTGAAATTAAACTTTAAGACCAAATTCACAACAAGCACAAGAAAACCTGGTTGTGACAAATTTAGCCTGATGCCTATTTTAACATAAACCATTATTTTCTTGGCCAGTAGAAATGTTTACAATTTGGAAAAACTTTCCATATAGGAAGAAACCTATATATTTTTAAAGTTGTAGGGAAGCAGCTGTTCCAACTGTTGCATTTCTGAATTCTGCCGAGTGGTGCACGACTTTACACGAGTGAATAAAGTGAATGTGATTGGTCGTTCATCAAGGGGGCGGGATTGTTGAGACAGAAGGTTCGCAAGCATTTTGATTGTAGCCGTTTTCTTGCTAACCAGTTAGCAACTTAGTGCTAGCAGCTTCCCAATGGGAAATTCCATTGGGACCAAGTAGCACTAAGTTGGTGCCTTAGAAACGACGCTGTCACGGAACGCTATGGACAGAGGAAACATGCAAGAGGAGGAGAGTTTAGTGTCGGAGGCCGTGGATGAATCTCCTCCGACATAAATTTTTTGATTTNTGTGGATAAAAGTGCAACAGTGTGCGAGCATTGTGCAACACGCGCTGTACTTTACAAGACATAATTGTGAACCGTTCCACCCCTACTTTAGACCAACTTCACAATAAAAACAAGAAAACCTGGTTGTGACAAATTTAACCTGATGCTTATTTTAACATAAATCGTTACTTTCTGGCCCAGTAGAAATGTTTACAATTTTGAAAAACTTTCCATATAGGAAGAAAGCTAAAAACACACTAATAATAGATATATTTTTAACTAATGAATGGATTTCACAAACTTTGTTTTGATCTCTACTCAAAGTCCATTATAGCTCTGCTTTCATTGTAGGCGAACCACCAAACATTATCCGGAGATTTGGTGCTACTGGGGCTTTTTTTGAGGCCTTGCAGAGACCAGGGTGATACAGAACTGGAAAATAGCTGCTGCTTCTCTGTAACTTAATTTTAGAGCTTTGTTTTTCACTCTTCACGTCCGACTCCACAGCTTTGATTCCCATTGTGCCGAGCCTGAATGACTTCTCGCTCAAAATACGCCATTACTCATAAACATTAACTGGTACCGTTTTTAGCCATGCAGGAAACTCTTGGCTGGATCGCCAATTTTCATTACACCCCTAGTTATTGGCGCATCACCCCAAGGTCTGTTTGCAATATCTTTTTTCTATTGGTTCTGCTGTCAGGATGGACCTAATAATTTTTACAGCTAAGCCGTTTAGTAAATGTCAAAAAATTATCATGAATTATTTAAATTTTTTTGTATGAATTACAAAAATAAAATCCTATTTATTACTTGGTGACAATTTTAAGGACCTATGAAATACCTATTTAAGACATTTTAATACCAATTAAGGCCTTATTTTTATATTGAAGGATTCAATGCCTTTTTAAGGATCTGCAGGAACCCTGTATAAATATAATTGTGTGTTTCCATCATAACTGGAGACATGGATGACATCTCATTCGCCGCTCCTTCACTAAATAAGGGACATTATGTTTCATCCTTTAACATTTTCATATATTTCTCCTTTTTGATTGAACACATTTCCATCTTTTCTTGTAAATAGAACCCGTTTCTCTGTTTCACAGGGAGGGACAGAAAACATTAATTTTCAGCTGCATCTCTGCTCGTTTCATTTGGAGTCAAACCAGGTTTAACTTCTTACATTTTAATTTCAAGGCCCTGTGATTAATTAAGTAAAGGTTAAACATAGCTTAAAATTAAACCATATTTTTATATTTTTTCTTGATCTACTGCTGGGTAACACCTAGATGCCCATTTCACACACATTTATTATTTTTTATGTTAAATAATTTTATTGTTGAGGATAAATCTTTCTATTTCACGTATAAACCGGCCCCTGCTATCTTAAATCTCCTAATTTTGCAGCAGTGTTTATATTGGGCTAGAAGTGAAGGAATAGGATCTATAAAACACAGTTAGAAAAGAAGGTAGTTCAGATACCCAAAAAGAAAAAAATAAATCTAAAAAAATAAATAATAAGTTTTAAAAAATAAAATCAAAGAAAATATGAAGAAAATAATTTGGAGTTTTCCCCAATTTCGTTTTATTTGCATTTGTTTTACATTCCTATTTATAAAACGAGGTATTTATATCAATAATGAAACAAAATTCATTCCATACATATATCAGAGATTAAAATGCTCTGTATCGACCTAAAAAAAAAAGGACCTGTATTGGACGATTTCATGTCACTAGTGGTTACACATTTCTCCAATGTGAGATCAATCAAGTTCAATTATATTTTTACAATATAATTAGATTATTTAAAATGTTTCATGGATGAAATTGATACAATTTAGTTGATCCTTTGGGATCCAGGATCACGTAATCAGTTTAAAGCTGGTTTTTCAAAGGTTTTGATCAATCTGATTAAAATACCCAGTTTGGGAGATCCCCAAATTAGAGATTATCTGCAACAGAACAACTGCTGTGTTACACATCAACCACTAGATGTCAGTATTATGCATCT